TTCCTAATACCTAGTGTAAATTTCCCCTCTTCCAGTTACCTCGTTACTCCTTGTCCTGTTAGCACAGTTCCTGATGAAGAGTCCCTCTCCAGCTTCCCAGATATTGGAAAGTTTCTATGAAATCTCCACACAAACCCAATGATCTTTGTGGGTCCCTTCCGACTCAGAATATTCTGTCAATCATCTGTGAATCTCTGAACCTTCTCTTCTCCAGGACAAACAGCCCAAACTTTCTTAGCCTGCCTTCTTAGGGGAGGTTCTCCAGCCCTCTTACCAACTTTCTGGCCCTGCTCTGGACTTGCACCAACAGTTTAAACACATGACTTCTCTGCCAGTCTTGACATGAAACATTGTGAATATATAAGGTATAAATAAATCTGCAACCACAAGTAATCCTTGGTTTCCCAGATCAATAGGGACTGTTTGTAACTGATGATCTATGTAGGTTTTTAAGTGACCTTTTGAATCTTCTAGCATTTTATGTTTTGGTTCGTTTTTTTTTTTTTTTCCCTTATGAATAATAATTAAAATATAAGTCCAACAATGAGACATCTGTTTAAAAAAGTTCCAGCTGAAGGTCCTACTATGGCTTTCAGGGCATTTTGTAGGGCTTAYTAGTTTGGCTCAATCTTAATAAATGTTTTTGCCTTATTCTCTGCATGATTTGGGAACACTTCAACAATTGAGCATTCTTTACAAGGAGCTTATTTCCAGTGATATATTCTTTTTCCAATCCTGATTTACTGCATTTTCAGTATATAAGTCTGTTTACCTAACTTATCTCAGGAGTGGCATGCTAGAAAATATAATTACATTTAAAGAGTCTATGAAACTGGTTGGTAAAAACTGATTAAGAATAATCAGTGATCAAGTAGAAAGGAGCAAGTCCTCACCATGACAGTTCTAGTTAGTCAAGGGTAAACAGTAGTCCGGGGTAGCTCAACAGTTAAAAAGTTTTACTGTTTTACTGTTTTACTGTTATGACATATTGACCTGAAGTCTTTCAGGATAGCCAAGAACAGAGAGAGAGCATCAAGACAACAGAGCCCCTGATGGCTGCATTCCAGTTGGCATTATTATAAAATAGAAGATTCTAAGTAAAAGACATTCTCAATCTGATTTTTACTAGCATGCTTTTTCTTGTACAAAGAGCTAGTGTAATTTCTCCCATCCATTTTTCACTACTGCTGATCACGACATTGAGATATCAAAAATTTTACAAGAAATTTCTATAGCACCACCAAAAGAAAAATCCTAAGTGTCTATGCTATGAGAAAGCAGAGAATAGAGTTCAATCACATAATGTCCCACCTTTCCAGAAGTCTCCATTCTGAGAAGCCTGGCTAAAGAAACTCTACATGAGCAGTGTACCTGAGCTGTGGGTATTACTAAGACTCTCTCCTAGAGCAGATTTCCACTGTTTCCAGAATCAGCCTTAGAAGAGAGTGGTAAACTTGGCTCATCATTTTCAAAGCTTTGCATGAGGTATAATTGCCTGACACTGTGGCTCAAATTCATCCATTGGTTTGAATTGCCAAATGCCTGCTGACATAAATAAATAACCATACTGAGTTTTGGGCAAGCYTTTTCTCTGTGAGTGCAATGCACTGTCATCTAAAGAAAAAAACCCAACCCAAATAACATTAATCCTTTGCTACTGCTCAAGTGCTTTTCTTCTAAAGTTTTTAACATATTCAGGCATTTGAGTGCATTTAGTTTCACAACTTGTTTATCTCAGCTATAGGGATTATAAAACTTTGTCATGACCTCAAGATAAAACAGAAGAATGTGGAGGAAGCACAAAAATCCCATTCCTCTGAGTTAGAATACAATGATTTCAGTTGATTCTCTTTTAGTTCTTTAGCTATGGAACATGTTATTCCTTGCCTATATGTATAAATATGGGAGACGTAGAGGGAGAAAAGACAGAGTATACGTGACACAATACAATATTATCATAAAGTTGCAGAATTTCTCAAGTTGGAAGTGACACATAAAAATCACAAAGCCTCTTGCAAGACTTCCTAACACAAACAACATGACTAAGAGCAGCATCCGGACTATTCCTTGACCTCTAACAGACTTGGTGCCATGATTCCTTTCCCGGGGAGCCCGTTCCAGTGACTGACCACCCTTAGCAAAGAACCTTCCTCTGATGAAACTTCACTCCATTTCCTTGTGCCCTAACATTGGTCATCAAAGAGAAGAGATCAGCAACTCTCCCTGCACTGCCTGCCTTGAGGATGGTGTAGATTCTGTGGAGGTCACCCCTCAGCCTTCYCTTCAAGCTGAACAAACCAAGCYRCTCCTTGTAAGTCTTGCCCTTGAGACCTTTCACCATCTGGATATGGTGACCCATATCCCATCACCATCCCATAGGCTTTTCACCCTATTAGTCTGGTGCTTTTCTTATACTGAGGCATCCAACCCAGCACACAGTGCTCATTGTGGAGCTGCACCAGAGCAGAGCAGAGCAGAACAGAACAGAACAGAACAGAACAGAACAGAACAGAACAGGACAATCACTTCCCTCAACCAGCTGGTGATGCTCTTCTTCATGTATCCCAGGTTTGCCTTTTTTGCTGTCAGGGCACTGCTGACTCACATTCAACTTGTCATCAAGCCAGACCCCCAGGTCTCTTTCCATGTGGCTGCTTTCCAATCCCTTGTCCCCCAACATTTATGTATAACCAGGATTAGGCTGTCCTAGGTGCAGAATCTGGCACTTGCTCTCACATGGTTGGTGGCTGCCTCTGTAAGGCCTCTCTACACTTAACAGGGTCCATGGTATGTCCTAGTTCAGTATCATTAGCAAGCCTAATGTACATCTACCTCTTGCATCCAGATCTTTACTACTGGTAGTCAGATACTTTAAATGGAATAGTCACCCCTTGTTTTGAGAAGCCAGTACCTTAGAGCTCGTAGATTAGCTTCATTGACTCAAACTGGAGCAGAATTAGAGCATTCTTGAAAAAATTGGTGACCTGCTCTTTCACACTCTTTCAGTCTCAAAGGTAAATTATCAAACCCACAGTTTTTAACATAAGTTAGCAAGTTAAAACTATCTATGGTGGTATCTTCCAACACTCATTAATTTTTCTATATACAAAAATTTCCTTTCAATCCTATTCAATCACTACAGAGAGAAATTATAATATTAATCCACTTTATCAAGTCTGACTGAATCGAACTCAATTACAAAGCTGTCTTCAACAAATGTCATTTGAGGCTTCTGCATTTTGAGAAATACAAAACACAACATGTGAMAATCTGAAGCATGCCTTCATTTAATGGCAATCTGCAATTGCAGCACTGAGAGYGAAACCCCAAAACTTCATTGAAAGCCTGACTGAACACATACAAAATAGATATGATGAGTTGAAGTCGCCTCTGCCTATGGGAAAGGTGCAGCAGGATTATTGCCTCTGGTGATTTGTTTTGTTTTATTGTTATTCCAGTCAGTGAGTTCTAGTTGCAATTACCAGAGGTGTGTTCTGGTATGTCCTGAGCCATTTGGCACCATGGTCTGCATGACCCAGTCCTCTCCATAATCAGATTGCTATTGAATTCACATCCCATGCTTAGTATACAAATATACAAAAATTTATCCACTTTCATTGTGGGGAACTGATTTGATGGGTCTAACTCAGAGTAAAAGTACATGTCAAGGCTTATGCTTAGCTATATGTATGAACTSCTTCACTTAGAGGGAGATAAACTACGTAATAAAGCAACTCCTCAACTGAAATAGTGAAGTTGCAAAATTTTAGAGTGTAAATGAGATGTACCTGCAATATATTACCCAGACCCTGAATGCTGTATAGAAACGCTTAGGTTTTTGTTTTGTTTTGCTTAATTTTTTTTTGTTTTAATTTCTTATATAACAGCCATGTCTGTTTTGTGATTTAATCTAAATTAGGATCACCTTTTGCTAGAAATACCATCTCAGTGCAAAAAAGGATGTTGAAAATTCCAGTTTTAAAACTATAAAATTACTTCCCAGTAGAGGTTAGCTTTACTAAAAATAAGTATTTCTTATTATTTATTATAATTTATTGTTATTTCTTAATAAAGGAATTTATGAGATATCAAGGAACTCTTCTGAATGCATTGCTGATGCCTGGAGAAGGGCTTACTGCTTTCATACAGCTACTGTAGTTCCTACCATGACTGCTCCCTTGGGGATTACTCAGTGCTTTTCCTCATTAAACTTTTCTGTAGGAGGAAAAAGACATCAGAGGACATCACTGGTCTTTGACAGAGGTCACTATAAAGTATTACCATCTATTTTTATCAGCTGTTAGGCATTGTTTTGTTAATYAATTTTTGCCTAATTCTTGATGCTACAATTAGCAAATCAGTTTGTGTGTGGGAATGACACAAGAAAAAGTGCAGATGCCTTCATGCTATCTCTTGCAAATTGGGCTATCAAGAGTCTGAAACAGATCTTTCTGTATGCCCAGAGTAGTCACACCAACAGATGTACTCATATTTACACCTGCACCCACGGACCTGACTGAATTATATTCTTGCCCAGAGTTCCACTGTCTCGAAGACAGCAACCCATATGTGATCCTTCAGTGGTTCAGATGGTAGGATCAGGGCATTAAGTCCCTATGMTATGCTCAGAAATGGATGATTTGGATCACTCACTAGTGCCTTGCTAAACTTTTCTGAGAGAAAAACAAAACAGTAAAAAGGCATTTTTATGCTTGCAACACTGAAGTTTTTTTCCAACTTGTTTACCTAAGCAAAATTCAGATTTTCTTTCTTTTCTCATGAGTTATCATGGTCACTCTGACTTCTCATTTCAGTTTCTTATCAGATAAAAGTGTTTACGAATGAGCTATAACCTCCTGAAACATAAGGTTTGCAACAAAAAAGCTGACAACTGTAACCATAGCCTAGGCTGTGGTCACCACCCCAGCAACACAGCGGGATTTGAACTTTATACCTTGAATTATGAAGTAATTGTTTGTTTTGTTGGKTTTTTTTTGCAGTTTCTGCTTTGCGGCATATGTGGAATATTGTGTGCCAAAAAAAAATCTGGACTTGTTGTAAGTTTTTCCACTGCATCTATAACTCTTTAAGTATTTGAAAGGTTTACTTAYCTAATTTGAACTCTTTACTGGGGGGTCTCTGTATCTAAGTGTTTCTGATAAACAGTTTGAAATATTGCAAGTCAGCAACCCATAAAAAAGCAATCAGCACTTTGGAATAATCATAAAAAACAAGGCAGTTYTGAAATGGCCTAGGTAGGTCATGCTATTTAAGCCATACAACCCTCTTTACCCGTATCCGGATAAACTTTGATGGGAAACCACTTGACACAGATTTATGTCAAGTCAATAAATGGTTCTCAATAATGTCACTGGACTGTATCTTCTCTCCTTCAAAAAACAACACTGGGTTGCCATCTCACTAAGGCTGCTGACCAAGTCTGTTTCTAGATATCATAGCTGTTATATGTTTTAATAAGTTCGTTTAGCCATCTGAAATGTGTAAATTTTAAAGTGATGGAAGATGTCTTTTCCAAGTACAGTCATTTTATGACTGCAGCAAAATCGTGTTATTACTTGATAAGTCACAGCAGAACTTCATGTTAAAGACATGATCCTATTGAAAGTGATAATGMCAGTCTTAATTTTCTGCCAGCTTGATTATTCTGCCACATACAGATGGAAGTCACATAAAACCAGCATAAGTGTGATGGGAATCAAGAGTTCTCTCCAATTATTTTTTAGCAKCAATGAGTTAACCGAAACCGTGTTAAAATGACAGTCCCATTTCTTACAACATGAGTACCATAACCAGTTTCTAAAAGCCACCTATTCTGGAGGTCTCACGGAATAGTCACTTGCTAGTCGACTGCAATATAGATGCCACATTCCTGATGAAATTTTCATCCCAGTTGTGTACAGAAGTAGTCTTTAAGACTCCATACTTTTTTTTCTACCAAGTAGATAAGTATATATGTAAAGCCATATTGAGAAACATCAAAAGCCCATCTAGATCACCAYCTGAGAGGTCAGCAGTATTAAGAGAAGTGAATAAAACAATAATTTTGCGCTGTCTTCGTAATAAGTTCTATTGCTCCTGAATCATTTGTGGTCAAAGCATATCCTGAACCAGTGTAACATCTTTGTGATTAAAAGCAATAGGAGGTTCTTAAAAATGTCTCACTGACTGAAACCTGTTTCACAGCCTTCTAAAATTCCCAGAAATATTTTAATCAAGTTAAAATCAACCAAACTAACCAACCAATCAACCAAACATATAGTCACCAAACTGACCTTCTGTAGAGTAGCATCGCAGATTTCTTTGTTTTTTTTTTCTTCTTTGACCAGCACATTCACCTTGAACACTTTCAAAGACCCCACAAAAGCTGCAGAAAGCCTCCAATGTGCTGTCTGACTGCATGAAATATAATTGAGCAGGAGGCAGAGTCAGATGGCACACAAAGCAAGAGAGATGCACTACAAATACATGAGGCATTCACTCCTGAGGCTTGGTGATAAACTGCACAATAGAAAATTACARCACATTCTGTCACGTTACTGTTTTGCATGAACAGCTGGAAATCAGATTTGTGTTCTAACAGTCCTTCTTGTCAGGTTTTAACTTTACCTTCTCATTGTACCCAATCTTTTCTTACAYGCAACATCAATCTTAACTATTGTATACCAGAAGCTAATGTATACCCTTGGAGCAATGTGGGAGCTAAGGACATTAAAAACAAGTGTCTGTGTAGTGTTTTGCAGTCAATGATGCTATCAAAGAATTGAATTATTATTAGTCTCATATTTTATATGCATTAATCCGTCTCTGAAAAATATTACTGTGACATAACATCTCTTGTCTCTCCTGACAGATGATACTTTTTTCTGCCTGCTGCATCTGTGGACTGATTGGAGGAATCTTAAATTTTCAATTTCTTCGTGCTCTGACAAAGAAGTCATCTGCTCTCTATTCTTTGCATCTTGCCTCCATGTCCCTTGCATGTATTGGAATTGGTGGTTGCACCCTTTCTTCATGGCTCACTTGTCGGCTAGCCAGCTATGAACAAAGGCGAATGTTCTCAGAGAGGGAACATTCATTGCATCACTCCCATGAAATGGCAGAAAAAGTGAGTTGTGTGTCTTCCCTTATTTGTTCTACTTCTCCTGAAATGTTACTGTATGTGTTAACGTTTACAGTCACCGAGAGATGTATTMAGTTTTCAGTTTTATGTGAGAAAGACCTTCTGGAAAATGAAATGCTGCCATTCTGTGTAAGCTTTATTATGTTGCATTATATGGAGCTATTTTTAGGTACTGTATATTTGCAGTACATCCATTTCAATGAAGTACATCCATTTTCAACATAATTCCATTGTGTAGTTATTCAGGGGCTTAGCTGCTAAATATAGCAGTTCATAAATAATTGGAAGCCTTATTAATATGGGTTATCATGTACTGTACTGTGAGAAAAGCACAGAATGCTTTCTGTAACCACATCATTGCATGCTTCCAGGATTTAATCAATTTCTTCCTCTCCCAAGTACTCAGCTTATAAATTAGGTTATTTAAACAAGAAAGTCACAGTTCACAAACCTAGATGAGTAAACGTAAGCATATAAAGGCATATTTAGACACCTAAATGAAACTGATCTCATTTTCAGCAGCATTGAACATTTACTTCCTTTCTCTATTAAAAGGAAGCCTACCAAGGTGYATAGGAACATACTTAGGTGCTGAAACTGAATCTCCCAAAGCTGAGCACATAGAATGAAAATAATTGAGTGGAATTCTTGAAATCATTCCCATGATTTTATAGATCTGAATAACATTTGAGGAGTTAGTTTGCTGTAACCCTGTGCTTTACATTTGGACTTAATATCCAAAGCTTTTCAGTTGACAAATTAGCAGAAAAAAGAGCAAAATTCAAGAGGATTGCCCACCCAAACCTCCACATTGCATTACTGTTAAGTTCAAGAGGCTGTTCTCTACTGAGCCCTCTGAAYAGCAGAGCAAGGTTTAGTTCATTCAGACTGTGGAAAACATGATATAACAGTTAAAAATGACTCATCACTATTCTTTGTTTTTTTAACTGAGATGAGATTCCAAGTAGAATTACAGACTGAATTCACCTTAGATGATGTTTGAAATGTGTTTTTAAAAGAATATTTGAAACATTAAAAAAAGATTATATTTTAAATGCTTTAAAAAGTTAAATATCAGAGGTTACAACAGTAACATAAAGCAGGGTGATAAAATCAAGAGAAGAGATAGATTTGTCCAYCTCATTGTAAAATGAAGAAGAATCCTCATGAGCTGTTAGGCAAATGTAATCACGGTCTTGCAGATGGAAGGCTTAGATCTTGACTTTCAGATAGGTTCTGCCTCAACAAGGACAAAGATGACAGAAGAGAGGGAGAGGAAAAAGAAAGAAAAACCTTTCAAAATAAAAACCCTAACAATGTGGGATGAAGATGACCATGTAACAGTTCGCTGTCTGTTTTCCTGCCCTGTTGGCCTATTGAGCTTTTTGACACTTAGCAGAGAGGACTGCCMGGTGTCCACTTWTCCTGGGTGAAGGGCCAYGATGCACGTGCAGAGCAACCCTATKRCACCCCACTGATGGCAGATGTCCTGCTGTAGGGCAAAGTATGCATGTRCAGGTAGCCTGACTTGGGACTCCTTAGACCCACAGACTGCCTGGTGCTGGCAGGGTTGAGTACAWTAGCTCACAGCATGCCCCTAAAAAACAATGAAGTCTTCTTTAAAACTTACATTAGACTCTCATTTAAAAAATAGCTTAAGAGTGGTTTATTTATAAGAYTATATTGTATATTTATACTGATATACAGTAATATAGACATGTACTGCATGTGCATTTGTTTGTGCTATATTTATTGTATAATTGTTATATTTATATTAGAGATTGAGGGGTATTGAAATAACCGACCTGCCCAGCTGTCCGGTGATTCCCCCGACACCAGAGTTACCTCCAAGGTACGCTGAACACTAGGGAGCTACCATGGTGTTATGTCACTTCAGGAAGGGCCACCTCTACGAGGAAGTCACAGTTTCAGCTAATCAAAGTTGGCTGATGCTGTGATGTCACTCTGAGGCGGGAATGGTGCTTCCAGGTAGTGACATAACTCTACGTGGTGAATGCTGCAATCTGGAAGTAAGTTRAGTATTTAAAATATTCACCCTAGTTATAGGCATCCAAATACCCTTATTTGGATGTGAYCACCATTGATTCACTCTGCTTCTAATTTGTGTGCTCCTTCATTCCCTGAATTCAGCAACATTTTTCTTTTTTCAATTAACTTTTTTAAAAAAATAGAAATATTGGGGAAAATAAATGGTTTTGATATTTTCTGTAATTATGGTGATTCAAATAGCTGATGTCTGCAGAGGACTCAAATGATGAAGCTGAAAAAGAAAACTGACACTCACTCATGAGTAGCTTTATGACAGACCATTGCTACCAAAATGTGTCTGACAGATAGTTACTATTAAATGGCTTTGGTATTCTCGGTCCCATTCCCAGCTAACAGATATCTTCAGAATAGATCCAAAAAAGGCTTTAGCACCCACAAATAAGCAAAATATAGTGCCTTGTTTCAGAGCAGACAACCCCCAAACTAAGATCCATAGTCCAGTGTCAGGATGGACTCTTCAATGTATGAGGAGGATAAGGCACAATATAAAAACATCCAACACCATCATCTGCAAATGGATTCCTGGGTGGTAGAAAATATTCAAATTAGTTTCAAGCTTGATTTTCTCTGAAGCTTATGCTTGATTCAGGAGTATAAATTGGCAAGGCTACTTGGTTTGATGACCCTAAGCTTACTTTGTAGAGATCAATAGAACATGCCTTCTTTCAAAAACTGTAGAGGGAACAATTAAATATTGTGATTTACTTTAAAATGTAGCTGGTAACACCTGAAAAGGAGGCATCAGTGCTTTTTAATGCTATGTAAAACTCTGAGTTCTGGTCTCTGCTTCCCAAATATTGTGTATTAAAAGCAGAGGGAGGAAGAGTAAGACTGGTAATAAAGACCAGGTTGTATAATTTTCTTCTCTTTACCACAAATCTCAGGTACTATGCTATATACTTGGGCTCTTTCTTCCTGTCTTTTTTTCTCTCTCTCTGTCTAGCCCACTGAATTTTGCTTCAGTTTTTTTTATAGAAGCTTCCACAGGAAGGGGTCAAATCCCTTTTATTCCACATTTTCTCCAAGAGTACCTAGGAGGAAGAAGAGGTGAATTTAATCTTTCCACATAGAGAAGAGCCTCTGGTCATTATGCAGCCATTTTAGAACTATTCCAACAGTAGCACCCCCACCTCATCTGCCTGAATTTTTTAAATAGCCCAAGCTGCATTTTTACGTGAGCCCATTCCTCTTGGCRTAGCTGAATGTTCTCTGTCATTGGACACAGGCAGCAGATCAYTTGTTTCTGCATCCAGATTCAATTTGGTATGAAATAGTCTTGGGACTCCTCAGCATGAAGTAATTCTGATCATTAGCTCAATGTGGCTTTGCAGACTTGAAGATCAGGGAACTGTTTAAATAATGCAGCCATCTCTATGCTTAGACAGCTGCTAAGGGGGTATTGTTTGGATTTTAATTTAAGAATTAGAAAATCTATCTCTGAACAAATCTTGGTTTGGGTGCTTTAGGATTCTGACTCATGAGGCGGTCAGCTTACTCTGGGATGACTCACCTGCCACTGGAGAAGCAATCCCTGAACTGCTAAAAATTGTATACTGGCATATTAAGGGAAAACTAAAATCAGTCCCATCCCAAGGGAAAGCAAGCAGTTAAACGCCTCAGATCCTGTTTGGATCTAGTCCTACTTCCCAAATRTCTATTTCAGCAAGCATTGAATGGCATCTGTTTGCAGCATGTCAGCACAGATAGAGGTTTGAATGGAAACAGAGWCTTAACTACCATTTCGTTCTTTTGTAGATCAGCACACAAGCTTGAGTTGATGCAATTTCAAAGGACAACGTCACAAACTTGTACAGATGCCATCAATGCTGTATATGTGGTCTGAGTGTAATGTCCAAATCAATCATTATCTATGATTCTATCACCTTTCAAATACACTTAATTTATGTAGGCAGAAATCTGTTTTGTTTTTTTTTTTAAATGAGATGTATCAAGCTAAATAAAAATGTAAACTGTTTCTGAATGTTTTAAATTCAGCATTTGTTAAAATTTCATCATAACCTTAGATAACTGAATTTTGAACACCTTACAGTAATTCTAATTTTAATTAATGTTTTCTATTCTTGTTCTAGGAAATGACAGACAACCTAAGCAATGGTGGCCCACATCTGATTTATAATGGAAGTGTATATTAAGAAATTTTTAAAAGTTCCATGGAAGGAAGTGGTTTTAGAAWTTTCTTCAGGAAAAAAAATAGACTCCAAGGAATTAAGAAAATGAAACTRTCTTAGCTTTTATGGCTCAAAGGTCGCAACTGCAGACCGGCRCAGTTGCAATTCCCTTTTAGAACCATGTTCAAAATTTGTCTCCTAAASATTTTGCGGATATACAATATTTATTCACTTCCTGGCTACTCTCTTTCAGTTTTTTGTCTGAATAATCTTTCTGAAKTGTGATAGTATTTGAAATAGACTTCTCAAGACTCTTATTCTCATGAAGACTCAAAAATCAGAAAAAAAACCCCAAAATGAACTGCATTTAGCCCACTCAAAGGAGAAGGCAGAGGAAGAATGGCTCGGGGGAATCTTTTTCTCCTCTCCACTTAGCAGCATCTGGTGTACGGTGGCTTCAGATCATGGCATGGTACAGCAACACATCTGCACAGTCCCTCTCTACACATTTTGAATGCATCCTGCCTCAGTTTTCCCAGTAGATCATATCAAAAGAGAGAGCAAACTCCTCTTCCAAAAAGCTTCCATTTCACATCCAGAGTGTAAATGAACAGTGTGCTGAAAACAACACCAATGTCTTTGTTTTGAAAGACAGAATGCTCTAAGAATGCCATAAATCAAAACCTCAATAATGCCTTGTTGTAAAGAAATTGTAAATATTTCCAATTTGTGAATGAAGTATATTTCGTAATTTGTTCATAAAAGATGACAAATAAAATGAAATCTAAACCAGAGGTTTTAGAGATATCTTTTGGGTTTTTTCTTGTTGGAACGATCTTGCAAAGCTGAACTGTCATACTTACAGTTTAGCACAATATGTTGAAAAGTTTCTAAAACAGTGAAGCATGGTCAGAAAGGAGAAAAATGGAGGCTGAACAGAGTCACGGTCAAAAACAGAATTTACTGGCAATTCTCCACACCCACAACAGAGTTTGGGGTATGCTGAAGCAGCAGGTATATTAAGGCAGCAGATTTAACTGACCCCAGACTTTATTGTAGGACCCACTGGTTCATATAGCCATGAGAAATGGAAYAAATGATCTGTAACAGAACATTTACAGCATAATATTAATAGTAAACATTCATATACACTGACTCATAGGTTACATAGTCTATGACTTTGCTGTATTGCCCAGCACATCAACATGAGTTTGATATGTGGGTTTCACTGATGACTGGCAACATTTGGTGATTCATACCCATGTTMCCAGACAGGTATGAACAGAACCTTATTACAGTTCAAACCATGCCATAAAAACCTCTATAAATTACATTAAACTGTTTGATTAATCTACACCATATAAAATAATCTTTAAACCAACTATCTTAGAATTTCTGAAGTGCATAAAGCAGTTTCCCATCTAATTACAACACGGGGAACATCTTCACTGCAATTTCCTTAAACTCCATGCTAATTAGTTGGATGGCTAAGCTTATAATGCTTCTCTTCACGTCCTTACTGTCCCAAAGAGCTTTTGAATTTTCTCAGAGGCCCTGATATATGAGCATTTATTACACACCTTAGAAATTTCTAATGAGACTGTTGAGGTTCATAAAGAATACAGACTGTTGTAGCAAAATAACCAGATGTTAAGGCATCTCTGCTCAAGGAGGTGCTCCCCTTTCCAGGTACTACCAGTCTTTAAACTGTCTCCTTCACTGCATTACAGGTTGATTGTGCTCTTTAGAGGTGCCATTGTGCCTTCAGTTTGATCCTCTTCTTCCTTTGCAGCAGGAAGCATGAGATATATCTGTCCCCAGTATGTGCTCCTTATGGGAGCATTTTTGCTGCAACTCTGAACACAACCTGTCAAGGCATGACCGTGGTATAAATGGGTGCAGAGATTCATATATGTTGAAAGATGCACACTGAACATACAACCTGAGGAGATGGTTCTGTAAGATTCCTTTCCTCATTGCCTCAGAAAAAAGTATGTACAAGTGACTTTCAAATCACATCAAACCAAGAGTAAATTTAAAAATTACTCAAAAATCCACCTTGGAACCACCTGGCTGAGGTTCATCACTAGTTCCATAGCACAACTGTAAAATCTGGTTCACCAGATTCTCTTGTGGCACCTCAGGTCTAGGAATGGTACCTTCAGACCGTGGAGTAATTTGGAGTTGCAGTTCAGGATCTGCTCAGGAATGACATGAACCCACAGACCGTAACACCATCTARGTATTTATCACAAACACATTATTTCCTGGCATGTTAGTGAGAGTGTGGGATGGTGCAGGGAAATAGATGATTCTTCAATCTCCAATGCTGTAGTGCAGCACAAGAGCCACTTCCTCATACTTTGGAAAGGAAAGGAAGATACATTCTCTAAGCTCACAATGTTTGAAGCCCCTGAAACTGTAAATTATGAAATACCACCACACCATTTCTTCTGCATTTACAGAGGTGCTGGAAGGAGAGAGGAGATCTGGGCCCCAAATACAACTAATAGGTGTTTTTCCTTCTTTTGGTGTCAAGCCTGCAGAATGCAGAAAACTGGCTTGTCCCTACATCATTAAAAATCTTGAAAATGAAAATTTAGAATTTACAGGACTTGGGAACAAATGTGACAAAGAGTGCACCTACTTGAGACACAAACAGGATCCAAATTCTTAAATTCAAAGTAAATTACTACAATATGTATATGTGATAGGGAAATTCTGGGAAAAGTTTAACTTTGTTTAATGGTTTYGTCCCATAATTGCATACAGAATTCAACTGTAATGGAAACATTTTCTGTATGTTTTCATTACTGGTACAGATGAAAGGATATTCATTCCACTTATCCAACAGCGTGAAAACCAAAATTTTCAAGTTTTCAGAATGTGACCAGCCAATGTATGTACACCAATAGCTTGAAGGCTGGGCACCAAAGTCCTTTTCAATCTAAATATTGAATTAGTACTACCATTGACACAGTTGTCTGAAATCATGCTGCTATAAAATCAGATGCTGGCTCAGATTCCAAGATATTCAGCTGTTACTCACTAGGTCAAGCAACATTMTTCCTGAAGGAACTTACTTATTGAACTTTGTGCAGAGGACTTAACTGCTAAGTCTTTGATGTATGTTATAATACCTTAGGCTATATTTTAGGCTACATTTTGCCTTTCATAGAACCACAGGTGATGAGAAACACACATGTTTTGAATTTACAAGAATCAGCAGTGCTTATTGCAAACTGTGCAGAAAAGTGTGTACAATATGTTTTAAATCTCTGTCTTGCATATTTTTCAATATGTATTTGTTGTATTAGGACATATGAATTTACCTTCACATGGTCTGGAGAGATATGAAGAACAATGGAACAGGCCACATTCAATATGAAATTGATATGCATTAAGCCATAATTACAACTAATCATGCTTACATCAAAATTTTCCTTGTCACTGTGATTTTAAAGATACAGTGAAAAGAGAATCTAATGGTTTAAGCCATTTTTAATCTTTCAGATTCCAGTCCCAGGCAGCTAAAGGAGTTAAAAGGAGCCTTTCATAACTAAATACTTAGAAATATCTAAAAGCAGACTGTCATTAGACGATCATATCATTGTAGATATTAATGCAGTATCTTCCTGCCTAAAATTATTCTATCCAGCTTTACTTCTCTATATCGAACTGACATCTTAAACTCYGCTGTGAACCTCCAACATAAAGAACCAACATGTACAACCAAAGGTGATTCATCTGGATACAGATTTTGAGGAAAATTTTAGAACTTGTATGAGGGCTAACCTGACAGACTGGCAGTTGCCAGGGGAAGGGAAAAAATAAAAAGAAAATAGAATATTTTTGGTTAAACAAAATTTGATTGGAGTGAAGATGCTAAACCCATCCTAGTTTAGCACCATCAGCCTAGGGAGCTCTAAATGACCCTGGGAAGATTGCTCAGAAAGGCCTTTTYCCTAATTATAAAATTAGGAGAATGCAATTTGGTGTTCTGAAGGAAAAAAGGGAACTTGATGAGATTAAACAGTAGCTGGAATTTCAGGAGAAAGTGTCCCTTCTGTCCAGGTACTCTTCTCTCAGGTACCTAGAAAGACTTGCTTGGCTATGGAAGTGTTGTTCTGCTACAGAARGAAGCATAGTGTAATTTTGCTTCATAAGCAGTAGAAGGTTTGGGTTTTTTTTTTTTTCCCCAGAAATCACTCTGAAATTCATTTACAATCCTGCTATAAATTGAAAAATGAGTCCTTTAAAAAAATATATGCAGTTATGGCATTTTGAGCAAGCTGACCAGGTACATTAACTAAAAATAACCTCACCTGCATACTGAAAATAGCTGTTTAAATGAACTGGTATAATATGTAATGGGAACATGCTAGGAAGGCAGGGAGGAAGAGGCACCGTAAGCACAACTGAAAAGCTGCACATAATTCTGCTGGCATAAAGCAGGTATAGGAGTTAACACAACTTCCCTCTGCACCCTTAAGAAATCATACATGCATTCAAAAGGATCTAAGAACCATTAGGATTTTCCACCCTCTTTCCTGCATCCCACGGCTAGCAGCTAGTGTGAGACAAATCAAATTATGTTACCAGGACCACAAACTTGTTCAGCTTCTCTCTCACATCATTAGATGAACCCTTTTTCTCTTCCTCCACTTCATGGTTGAAGCTAGAACATCATGTCTTATATCTACACTTATCACTTCTCCTCTGTTAAAACGCAGCTGTATCCTTTAAAGTGTTTAGCATTGAATCAATTCTCATCTTCCTTGCCCAGAGAAAGGAATCACTGATCATTGTCTTCATTTTACAGTGAGATTGCAAGCAAGGCAAATCTAAATCTAAACCATGAAGTCCAAACATGCAGACTGAGCGTTAAATTCCTGTGGTTTGCTATATTACTGATATCATTGCTGTCTTCCCCCCTAAATCCTGGAATAAACTACAGGAATGCTGACAGCTGATATTTTCCTAAGGAATATTTATTAACTGTGTAGCACCCTGGAAAGTATGTGTCAGAGCTGCTTTTTTAACTGCTACACATGGGGACCAGTAGGTTAATATTTATATCCACACCATTTTGGCAGCAGCAGAGATCTTGAAATGGTCCAACTGTTTCAGATCTCAAACCGATTCTGCATGATCGTATTTATGCAACAGATTGTTTTGCTTCTATTTTGCMAGCAAAAATCATGTATAAAACTATGAAGAAAACTGGTAAGTTTGTAAATTAAGCTATTCAAACATGAAGAAACACCTGAATGGGTTTTATTATTAACTTTTTCTTCTGTATAGCACAAGACAGGATACTCCATCTGACAATCCTTTTACCAATCATGAAACATCTTTGGAAGCAACATTTATTTTTCCATCAAAAGATGTAATCTATCACCTCTCTTATTCCAATGAGCACAAACTTTCCCACTTTAAGGTGATTTGTTTCTGTGCAGATTTCYTAGGCACTGGATCTCACTATGCTACCATCTGCTAAATTAACAAGCCTGGGACAAACTGGAATCATGTAATTTCTTAGCCTTCTCTTGGGTTAGCTTCCTAATTCCCTCACTGTGGGGTAGATTTCCAGACAATATATGTATATATATATATATATATATATATATATATATATACACACATATATACATATACACATAAGTTCTTTCCTAAACCCTTTAAATTTTTCCCATGTAAACTTACTCTTTCTGTCCTGTGCATAAGAATTATGTCAGTATTTTCAACTTCTTATCCCATTCATCCCTGCCTTACCAAAGTTACATTT